TAAAAATGTAACACATTTTTCTTGATGTGGTTAATAATATGATACATAGTCATGCAAAGCTGCCTTGCATCATTGCACAATCAGTGTCCGAAGAGTTTAGTGGAGTCAATCATTAACAAAAGCTTAAATATCGAACACAAAAAAGCAGGAAGGTGTGTCAGTAATGTTAACAACGCATATTTACTGGTGCCATTGAGCTAAGGGTCAAAGCTTTCCATATGTAAACGAGCGCAGACAGCTTTTAAACATCCAGCCAGCCGTGACTTTGAGCAGCGCTGAAGCGTTTCAGCTCAGAAGAGCTCTTGAAGAAGATGCTTATGTTTCAGGAGATCAGAGAGGCTTGCAACAGAAAAAAAAGGTCTTAAGATCAAATAGCAGGAAAAAAACCTACAATCGTTTATTTTCTAAAGAGAGTGTGAGTGGTGTTAGCGGTTACTAAGGTGTGTTTTATTATAGCTAACTGAAAATAAAATTAAAAATAAAACTTTTTAATAGAATTTTGTTTGTTTGTGTGTGTGTGTGTGTGTGTGTGTGTATATGCATGTATATATTTAAGACAAATATGTTGTAAATTATATGAATATAAATATATGCATGTAAATACATGTAGATATTTTCAAACATATATACTGTATGTGTGTGCATTTATATATACATAATAAATATACACAGTACACACACATATATTATGTAAACAAAAATATATTTTGTATGCGATTAATTGCTTGATATATATATATATATATATATATATATATATACTCCAGGACGCTACGCTCCATATGACTAGTAAGTCAAATCTCAAATAACTGCCCTGATGACTTGTGTTCTACCCACCTAAATGATAGAAGTATTTGCGCTGTCCAATCTATAAAGTGAGGATCGTCGGATCATCAGGATGGAATGAGAGGTAGAGTTGAGTGTCATCAGCATAACACTGATATGAAAAGCCATGTTTCTGAATGACAGAACCTATAATGCCATGTAGACAGAGAAGAGAAGCGGTCCAAGAACTGAGCCCTGAGGCACCCTATACTGTACACACACACACACACACACACACAATAACTTTTTATTTTTAAACTAGTTGCAAAGGCAACATTTCACATTTTATGTACTTAAATAACTTAAATTAATATATTTTTTAAAAACATACAGACATATAAAAACTACTAAACATTACAACAAACATTTTCTTTTTTTAAACATTAAAATTAAAATTAAAACGGAAAATATACAAAATAAAAGCTTATTCAAAATATTACTTAAAACTATAAAAACCAAATAAGCATGCAGTTAAGTAATCTAAGTAAGTGCAGTTAAGTAATCAGGAATAAATCCAAGCAGGATAGTTAGTCAATAGCTGCTGTCATCTTAAAGTAAAAAAAACCACACACACACACAGACGTGCACGAAACACTTGGCGGGATTGTGTTCCTCTGGCACACAGTTAAACAAAGCTGCCTTAACATATTTACGCAATAAATCTCAATTCCATCCATTTTCAACATGTTACTGATACATTGTGTGTTTGGACAGTAAATGCACGTGTAAGATGATCTTTTTGGCTATCGAATGCAATTTTTGAGATTCCTTGTGGGCATAAACATTCCTTAACATTTTCCCCCTTTTTTCTCTTAGAATTATGAAGAAGAAACACTCATACACTCTTAAAAATAAATGTTTTTTATTGGCATCAATGTTCCATGAAGAACCTTGAACATCCATGGAACCTTACATGGTTCTTTAGACTGGAAAAAGTTACACTTTTTAGACTAAGAAAAATTGTTCTTTTAAGGATTGTTCACTGAAAGGTTTCTTAGGGAACCAAACATTTTTGGAAAGATTATTTTTAAAAGTGGCTTTGGCCTCCAGCAATTGCTCTTTCACATAACTTTCATGAATATTTTATGACTTTAGGCTGAATTGAAGTTTGGGTTTTTAACTTGAACCCTAACGGACTCCGAACGGTTTCCCAAGATCCTGCTGGGGGCCACCCACATGTCACTCGGGGGGTCAAAGTTCAAGTGAGAGGGTCGGAAGCTTGTGAGTGTTTCGGCGTACCACAACATGTGAGCGGCAGCCATTGTGAGTCAATCAGAGACTTTAGACGACGGAGACAATGAGCGCTGAACATCAGATAAAATCCACCGACACGATCCAGTCCATCGCAATCAGTAACGATCAGTGACAGCTTTTTCTATAGAGGCCACTTTTTCAGTGGCGCTGGTTCCGGAAGTGTTTTTTCCCATTAATTTTTCCCATAGGGATGTTAAAAAGTCTTGGTTAAAAAACCGTGAACCAAGCCGTGAACCAAACCAACCAGCTATGAGCTTAACGGCTTTAGTGAGGGAAAGAACTACAATCCCATGAAGCACTGCAAATGATTTAATTGAATTAAAAAGTAAGGTGAAATGTAAAAACATTCATTTAAAATTGTTGATTGTGTCTATAGAAACAAATTTATTGCAAAATAGGCATATATATTTACAAATATTAAAGTATTTTGGTAGCATTTAGAGACCAATATCATCCGTGGTGCTTCATGGGGGTGGGAGGAGCCAAAGATCTCTTTTGCTCACCATGACTCTCTGATTGGTGGAATTTTCTGTACAGCATCATGGGTAATGTAGTTTTTCAAGTAAAATCGCCATTCGTTTTCTACATTTGGAAACTGGTTTTTAATAATAACTAAACCATTAAAGACAGACCTGTTGAGAGCTCAGAGATTGTTAATCAACCATATATGCTTTTGTTGATCCCATCTGTTTGCATTAATTCAACTTATTTTTTAAATAATTGTCTTTAATAGAGGAATTTGTGGAAGAAAAAAAACTACATTTCCCATGATGCAGTCCAGAAAATTCCACCAATCGGGGAGTCCAGCGAGCAAAGTGCTCTGAGATTTTTAGCTCCGCCCACTTTTGTGAAGCCCCGCAAATGACGTAATCAACTCTCGTTAACGCACTGGCCCCGCCCCCCAGACCTGTACGTCATATTACATTTCATACAGTTGACTGTTGACAAATATGATGCAGGACAACAACTCCATAAATGCAGTTATGCCCTAAAAATTCAAGTTATTGGGGCAAAAAATGCCCCTGTATGTGTTTTTGTCTGATATTTATATCATATGATAAGTGATATCACACCAACAGTGACAGCAATATCCACTCCATTCCATCATCCCACGGAGCTCCCAGACACCACCGACCTCGACTGGAAGGAGACAGTCATCCACTCTCATCTGGAGAGTCTCCGATTCCGATCCGGAACCCCTCCGCCGGCAGTTCCCGAGTCAAGAAAGCCGTCCGTTCCCGAGTCCAGTCAGCCGGCAGTTAATGTGGCAAGCCGAAAGGACGCTAATGTGGCAAGCCCGAAGGACGCTAATGTGGCAAGCCCG